CTTGGCTTGCGCCACTACGATGTCACTTAAGCTCTGTACACGCTTGACGAAAAAATTGTATCGAGGAATGTTCGATTAATTGGGTTAATAACGCGTGTTGCTTAAGTTTAGAGTAGATTCGGGTTGTTGTATGGTTACTTAAGCCTGGTGCACACTTAAAAAATTTTCCTCTCGTGTAAATTGGTTAACTGGGCGTCAGACAAGTTTGGGGCAAGTGTGAATTAAGTTTGAGTTAGAAATACTACGATTTAGCTTCACTGTGGCATTAACGAAGCCCTGTACACGCATGAAGAAAATTGTATCGTCGCAAACATACGCGATAAAGAATTAAAAAGAAAAAAAAATGCACGATAGAATTAATCAGGTCTTCGAAGAAGGTTAGACGAAGTTCAGAGAAGCTCCAGATTACATCTGGATTAAAACAAACGTTACCCAATTTCATATTTATATCGTGTGAACTTCGAACACGCTTGATAAAGATTCTATTTACATAAATTGAACATTTTTTTACTCCTTAGACCTTCGTTAAACTCAGGATAAGCATAAGTCAACTGTAGAATGGGAAAAATTAAATTCAGCCTCGTTGTAATGCTACTTAAGCCCCGTACACGCTTGGAAAAAAATTCCTTCCAGTTAAATCCAGCCAATTACGTCGGTAAAGTGTGCATTAGGTTTAAATTATGTCTAAGTCGGTGTATTAAGCTAGATTAAATTCACGTTAGGTCTGAATCACACTTGTCGTTTTTTTAACAAAATTTTCTCCCTAAAATATTGTTTCTGCATAAATTTGCGACCGTTAAGGCGGATTATCAAGTGGCTCAATTGTAATTCACGTGACAACCAGGCATCGAGCGGTGACAGGAGGACAATTTTTCTATGGACCAGGAAACGACGACAGCCTGGCAAGCGTCGTGACGATACAATTTCTCATCCGTCGCACGTTCCGAAGTTTCCGCGACGTCTCAAAGTAATAACGGGGAAGGCGTCGCGTGCTTTCGAGCGTTTAAACGGTGACGAGTAATAAAGGGTGTTACAAGCTGACACGTAACGCGTCGAGGGTGCGCCCACACATGAGATGTGCTCTCCCGCGGGATTTGCGAATTTCCACGGATCCTTCCTTTCCACGTCTGCCACGTGCATTTTACGTCGACTAACCCTCTAAAATTTTCCCGCCATCGAGCTTTTTCGTCGTTTTTATGCGTACACAGTACCCTTGGTAATATACAAAGTGTCCATCGCAAAAATGTGCTATCAATTTTTTATCATTTTCGTTATTGCCTGGGTATATCTACCTGTAGGGGAATTCGAATAGGAAAGACAAGTTATAGCTATAGAGAATGTCTTGGAAAACTGGATCGAGATGTATTT